TTAATAATAGGTCTAATCTATAGCAAGTTTCGCCCTTCTCATGTTAGTTGGGTACGTAAGTCCAAAAACTTTCAAAAAATATGTTTTTGCTTACCCGATTTTTAAACGTAGTATATTTGTTCCTTTAAATTTCGGCTAAGCTTGTCCTACTATCGCCAGCGGCTGAAGGGAAGTGTAAATCCAACTAGGGTCCATACAGGTAGCAAAGGCACTGTAAGACCCCATGGTCCCTAGTATGGTGATCTACCTTCAGTTGTGGGCGATCTATAGCCCAATTTTACATTGTATTGTCCAGAAATAATTTTCTACTTTTAAAGATATATGTTAGCTAGTTTTAACTCAATCTGTGATAATCTAGTGGTTTTACTGTCCTTCGTTGACAGGGTTTTATATATTATATGTATGTATTATAAATTTAAAACTAGTTTTAGTCACGATATGTCTGAAATGTTGCCGATGTGACTTTAAATCTTAACTCACTCACTCACTCATGTTAGTTGGAGAAGGAAACTGAATAATATCTACTTCATGTAAATACTCCTCCAGTTATAATACATCTAATCTTATTAAGATTAACAGTAAGACAAGTCTCATTACTAAACTAACCCTAACAGAGTGACCCCCGTCCACTGATCAGTGGCCTCTCCCACTCTTGTTTCACGCCCCAATTACCTCATTAATTATGTCATGTGGGCAAACTGTAATTAGGGCTTGTGGGATTTATTAGGTGTGAATTTGAGGCCTTGCGGACTGTAACCTGCTGCGCCACCCTCATCCGCAATTGATAGTAAAAGTATAGACTGATCAAGAAAGATTAAATCTTATTACTCGATAATCTTATGTTGAATTATGTAGACTTTGATGAATAATTTGGTTTCTCATAAAAAAATATTCACTTGGATAGATTTCATAGTTATGTTGACTTTAAGAAATTGTTAACGTAAATGGACGTAGAATTTGATTGAAGAAATAATTTGACCTTGAATTTGGTGAGAAGCCTGATATAATAGCATTATTTTGAAAGTAAGGCTAACTAAGTACATGGGGAGTCTTGGGGAGGGTAGTGAGCTTGGGTTCACTACTAGTCAATCTGAATGTTGTATTCAATTGCATAATTTTGATAACAAATGACAGCATTTTAAGTTTAACCATCTGCCAGTGGTAAAAAATGTTAGGACTGAAATAACGAAGTCACTGTACGTCTTTATATTTTGTCTTACAATCCTAATTAGTTTGTACTATCATATTTGTTTGCATTTTGAAACTTAATAGAATGCTTATACTTAGTGAATTTATAACATGATTGTAATATCTAGACATTTTATAGATTGCCAACGTGTATCATATGTTACACACACACCCCCTGAGTGCGACTTAGAGTATGTTGTCTATCTCATTACACTTCACTGCAAAAAAAAAGATTCTGTTGAATGCCATAACAAATAAATGAAAACAAAATGCAAATATTAAAACAGACTAAAGTTATAGCAACAACATCAGGCTATTACCTTGTTCGGGGAATGTATCCATCAATTTCCTCATAAAGGAATGAGATGGCATTCATCTGCGGCTGACAAAGTTTCCTATTCCATGCCGTGTCTTTTAACAGTCTAATATGCGAAAAAGTGATCTATCGTTTCAGGTTTTTCACATTGGTGTATAGTCCCGTTGGTCACCCAAGATAGCACACCTGGCAACTAATTGCATGATATCCGCCATTCTATAAAAAAGTAATTTAGTTAGCCAATAATGAGCAATCAATCAATATATTGGCGGCTAATCCTTTGAAGGAAGGACGTTGTTTTTACACAGGCACTTTACGACAGGGTGTATTCAGATGAGTGAATCTACATACATAAACACTACCTTTTGACAAATCCGCTGTGCAGGATAAAGCAATTAATCAATCAGCGTGTTATCGGTTAATCCTTTGATCGATGATTGTTTTGTAACTCAGCTGATAATTCCTCTTGCTGCACTTCCATTCGCGTATTACATAAGATGTAATACATTTGCCACATCAGACATCAATTTATAATGATGAGTATTTACTCCAGACACAAGATATCCCAAATGGGAACCTTTGTCGGGTAATCTGAGTGGTGTTATCACCAATTATACCTTTTATAAATTCATTAACTGACCATCAAGTGAATGATGACAAATAACATATGTGTAGGTTTACCACCAAAACAAGGGTTACAGCAAGAGCGTAGTAATCGCTGTATTTGCATGCAAGTTTTATTGCCTGAAAAAAATTTAATAACTTATGGGCCGACACTGTTTTGAGGATACGAACGAAACTTCATTGTTACATAAGAATTATATATAAGCATTTGCTGTGTACTTAGTTAAAAACTGTATATACCTATGTACCGAAGTAAAATTTCAGATTTATTTTGCAAGGCAAAGTGGGGTTGTTTAGTTTATGGATTCAAATATATCAAATGATATCATCATATTTTTACATGATTAAATATTGAGGTAAAAAACACAGAAATAGGATCAAATTGGATCAGTCACTATACCATCAACACATTTGAAAATGTGAAAATGCCTACACTGCTGGGATACTTTATTACAATCAGACAAGAACTACCGGGGATAGTTTCAAATATCGGCATCTGATGGGCATCCACAGTTCCTAATGTCCCACTGATCAGGTTGATGAAATTCAGTCCCCGCGCCCGTCACAGTCGAGGGAGCAGGGGCTGACCAGTTTTTGCAGCTAGGTTTCGTAATTAGACTGTTGGCGAGAAACTTTAATCGCTCTGGATCAGTGGCCCTTTAATGCTATAAACTAGAATCTCATAAACTATTTGTGTCTGGAATCATCTGTGATATGAATTTGTGTACTGATTTCTCTAGAAATAATTCAACGTGATCTAAAGTGAATAATGTATTAAACATTTAGTCACCTTTTGTTGTAAATGACGAAATTAATAAGTTACTATATTTAAGAAGGAATTCATTTGGGTTGTTTTCGCGGGGTGTTCCTCTTTTGCCAGTCGGGGAAGTTGTTTATTTAGGGATTAAGAGGATCACCAGACCATGTTAATTAGCAAGACAATGGTGGGGGATGACCAAGCCAAGAACGGCACAAGTGGACTATCATTTGTATTTTTATGTTCAGCATACATAAATGACCCAGAAAACGACAATACAGAGAACTTAACGATAGACTACAGAGATCTTCAAGCAGGAAGGAAGACCATGATAGAATATGGAGATGCTGTTTTTCGTCTTGTTGGACTTTAAAGTCAATTGTGTATGAACCATCATTGTGGATATTGATGATGTATGATTGTGATTAGTACCTTATCAATTTCTTATATTTACGCTGTTACATAATGCTAAACATTGTGTACAGTTATGTATGTTATGTGTCATGTATGATTGTGAGTAGTAATTTATCAATTTATGTATGCGAACATAAAAATACAAATGATAGTCCACTTGTGTCACTTGTGTACATGGCCTGTGGTCTGTTCTCACTGTATCCTTGAGGGCGACAAGGAAATGGTCTCTGTACCTTGCGATAAAGTCGTCTCTGGTGTTAATCTTTGCTCAACAAGAAGGATAGCAACATCGCCAATGTGTATCGCCATTGAGATGTATGGGGAACATGGAGATGTATTGAGAAAAGCCATGTAATAACTGTACCAAAATCATTCCCTCTACTGGTGAAGGCCGTGTGGGATTAGTTAAACAAACAAGCCCAGTCGACCATGCCTCATAATCCTCTTACTCTTTAAATAAACAACTTGCCCGACTGGCAAAAGAGGATACCACCGTTTTTGCCTCAGTCCGCCCGTGTGTGGACAACATAAGCAATTATCTATTAACAAGTTCATGATATTTCGTGAATACATCAATTGCATAACACCATCTCTGACCATAAACCCAAACGGCCCATCCCTTGTGACGGGTGTTAATTGGACGGTACCAATTAGAGAATGTACTCTACAACGATTTGTCTATTATTCCCTGGCAAGGGTTCACTTTTATGACATGTAATAAACCCTGCCCAGTCAGTCAGTGAGTCCGGCAAACTTTTTTTAATCAATGATGTAACGTAGGTCTATCTAATTTGTGTTTATACAAACAGTGTCAAGGGAAACATTATTTGCGCTTCTGTTGATAACAGCAAAACATGGACTTAAAACAGTTTTTTAGAAAATTCTAGCCATACTAGGGGCAAATATGACAGTCAATATCAATTTTTGACACTTAGAACAAGAAGGATGCAGATGAGTGAAGTTATATTATTATATAGAATTGCCTCTCAGTTGATCGCATAGGACGGCGAGTAGAAAACACTTACTTTAAACATGATCCCAACTTTCTTAAAAACAGCTTTGGTTTGTTTTCTTTTGGTAGGCATGTAATTAATCCTTGTTTCTGGGTAACTGATACATTTTCATTTAGATATGCATAATTTATCAAAAATGTATTTAAATCTATCCAAAGGAATTTTATCAATTCGTTTGTGAAACCATCTGGGCCAGGACTTTTTCCATTTTTCATTGTTTTCAGTGCTTCTAGTGTTTCCTCATATGTTAGTTCTCCCTCTAAGGATGCGGCACTGTCTTCGTTTAGTTTTGTCAAATCACGAACTATGAAGGATCTGTTTAGTAATATAAGTTCCCTTTTAGTTAATGCATTTTTAAAAGAATTAGATTTGTTAAATGATTTGTAAATAAATGGTATTTTAAACATGGAAGTGTAAATTAGCAACTGCGATTGTTAGTGGCTGTATCCTCAATGGGGTTAAAGTATCGTAAAATTATTGTCCTCCTGAGAGGGTACGTAAGTCCCAAAACTTTCAAAGTTAAATATTTGCCTACCCGATTTTTAAACGCAGTATATTTGTTCCTTTAAAATTCGGCTAAACTTTCCTACAATCGCCAGAGGCTAAAGGGATGGTGTAACTCCAGCTGCGGTCCATGCAGGTAGCAAAGGTACTGTAAGTCCCCATGGTTCCTAGTATGGTGATCTACCTTCAGTTGTTGGCGATTTATAGCTTATTTTTATTATGTGTTGTCCCCTTTGGTTAAAATGTTTGAGATTTAATTACTAGTTTTACATATATATCTGTGATATTCTACTGTTTTACTGTCCTTCGTCGACAGGTTTTTTATAATATATATATTCCATTTCAATGTAATACGATACGGCTGAAATATTGCCGATGTGAGGTTAAATATTAACTCACGCACTCACTCACTCGTCTAGTTTTGGTATGTCATATTTGTTCAACAAAGAATCAAAATTAATTTTGTGTGCAGTTTTCATTTTTTATAAGGTTTGGGTTTCCTTTAGTATTTCTTCCTGATCTTTAATGGTTGATCCATCATTTTTTAAAAATTTCTGAAATAGATTTGTTTAGAAAAATTCTTAATTCCAAATTCAAAAACATATTTACTTGATTTTGCTTTGGGTCTAATGAAAGACCCGTTAGTTTTATTTGTTTGAAAATCATTAAGTTCAGTCTTTGTATCAATATTCTTTTTAAAATTTCGTCCTTGATCTGTAAACAGCCATTGTTGTCCAGTTCTATCTCTAAATCATGCAATACTGTTTCTAGGTCATTGATTCTACTCTTATCTTTTTACTTCTTTTTTTTTTGATGTGTAGTAAATTGTTAAGCCTTTAATTTCCATAAGAATGATTTCCCACAGAAGTTAATCATTAATTTGGTATTGTGAATTTTGGTCTTCTGTTTTGGAGTTATATTTATTCAAAGTGTTTTTAATAGTATCCCTGACTAGTTGTATACTGGCCACATAAAGAAACTGTGCACACAGAAAATATAAATATAGGCACACAGCATATTTATACATAAATACATTTGTAAACATAGCAACTATTGGACGCTCATGCACGTGCCAGGCGACGTGACGTCAATGACGGTGGCCTAAGGCCTTGCAATGTGTTACTGCACGTGCATCCCGTACAGATGCACACAACATGTGAAACTCTGAAATTGCTGTCACTGTCGAAAGCTTGATCTTTGGTCATTCCAACTTTCACCAATTCACATGAGAAGTCACATGCACATCATGCCAAGATTAACATCTGCTCAACGTCATGAAGCCATTGGAATGGTTCGAGCAGGAATGAGCCAACAACAGGTGGCATCACATTTCCAATGCCATCGTAACACGATATCTGCATGGGTCAGGCGTTATCGAAACAGTAATGACGTCGCCGGCTACCCACGTTCTGGGCGTTCCCGACGTAACGACGCCAAGACAGGACAGATGGATTCGGGTGACTCATCTCAGACACAGGTTCCAGACAGCAGTGGCCACGCCCCAGACCATTCCCCAGGCCTTCAATGCTCATTTGGTAGCCTCTATGTGTCTTCGATGCACTGCTGTGCTTCACGCACACGGTGGTCATACCCGTTATTGACTTTGTGACTTCGTCGTGTGACCCCCTACTCGATTTTGAACTTCTGACGTCATCGTTACGGATATTGTTCATGTTCTTTTGACATTTTCTTGTGGTCAGATACTTCAGCTTATAACGTGTCTACATCATTTCGTCTTTGCTGTGTTGTATTCCAATTATGAAGGCATTTCTGTGTGCAGTTTCTTTATGTGGCTAGTATACTTACTTTAGATCTTGCAATAAAGAATTGAATTTCCAAATACCTTTTCCTCTTTGTGTTTCAGATAGAGATAGTGTCATAGAAATAAGTGAATGTCTGAATCTATACTTGCACGTATGTCCCACTTGATTACATTTTGTAGTACATTTTGAGAGGTCAAAAAATAATCTAATCGAGCTTTTTTAATTGGGGTAGGTTGACGCCAGGTTAATCTTTTCTCGAACGGGGTTTGTTTCCCTCCATGGATCTTTCAAATCTAGAGCATGTATCAACTCTATAATTTTTTCTCTAGCTTTTGGATTGTTGATATTTGTTGATAAGTATCTTTCATAGGATCTTGTACTAAATTCCAATCTCTGCATGAGATAATTTGTTTCCCTCCTAAGCGTGCCACGTGATCTTTAATAATATCATACAATTCTGGTGTATCTTGGTTTGGGCCATATATGCTTGCTATTGTGTAACCTTGTTCACGTATTTTTACTTTTAATATTATATAGTTTCCTGAATCATTATCGGCAACAACATCTTCAACTTTGAATTCAGAGTTATTATTAAATATAACCGCTGCTCCTCTCGCATTACTGTTAAACGATGTCATACAGCACTGATTGTACCCCCATTGTTGCATAATGATCTGTTATTGATCTTTAGTAAAATGTTCATCTTGTAAACAGTATATGTGGGGGTTTTTCCTAGGTGAAAAGCGAAACGCCTTATTTCTAAAAAATATTTAAACCCCTACAGTTTAGAGACATAATCTTATTTATTTTTCCTTTTCAACTATTTTCAATGATGCGGATTATCTCTGGATTTATCAATGTTATGTAGTCATAGCAATAGTATAAAATGGGATTTGTGAAAATGTATATATCAGTAACATGTTTTGTAGATTTTTCGTTATTCTGTATATGGAAACAAAAATTTAAACATTTCAAAAGTATAGATATAAAAAGAACTTCGAACATCTGAAAACCAAGATGAATTTGTGGTTTTTGTGATTAACACTCTTTGATTTTTAAGAGTGAGTGAGTTAAAATTTAATCTCACCTCGGCAATATTTCAGCCATATTGATTTTTAAGAAGTTAGACATGTGGTATTTAATTATGATGCAACTACGAGAGTATGTGCACCCTAGCTCTAGCTCCTAGATATCATATCATTAGTACCGTTATACAACTATAAAGAGCATGTTACCATTGATGTAATATCCAAATCGCTATGCAACTAGAAGGGTGCGTTTACCATAGATGTAATACAATAAATATTGTAGTGTCAGTATCGGTAAGAAATCAGAATTCTACAGGGATCTTAACCGAAAAGATGAGAAAAAGTAATACGAAGTGAATATATCAAATAGTTTCTGACCTTCATCCATATGTTCCCACGTTTCTATGAATATGAAAACATTCGGTTATAAACTCCTTACTGCGCAAAACATACAAAACTTCTTGCATTGTCTTTTGCGTCTAAAATAGAACTGTGCACCTTGACTCTACATGTTTTGACAGTCAACACTCGTTTGTAACTAGTGAGTGAGCGAAAACTTTACATTGCATCGACAATATTCGGCCATATAGCGATGAAAGCAACTTAATCAATTGAAAATATCTGACAACAAAGGGCAGTAAAACCAAACAGACTATCTCAGATATATATTGTAAAACTAGTAATTAAATCTAAACTACTTTAACTATAGAGGACGATACAACTGAAGGTAGATCACCGTGCTAGGGACCATGGGGATTTACAGTACCTTTGCTACCTGCATGGACCCTAGTTGGATTTACACCATCCCTTCAGCCTCTGGCGATTGTAGGAAATATTTAACCAAACTTTAAAAGAACAAAAATACTACGTTTTAAAAATCTGGTAAGTATAAATTTAGTTTTAAATGTTTTGGGACTTACGTACCCTTTCAGGAGGACAATAAGTTTACAATACTTTAACCCCTTTGATGGTACAGCCACTAACAATCAAAGTTACTAATCCAAACTACCAATTATTAAAATAAATCTATCTACAGAACATGTTAATCACAATTCATCAATTAAATCAATTTCTTTTAAAACCCCAATAATTAAATGAAAATTAACCGTGGTAAAAAGATCCTTAACTGTTTTTACATTGAAATATGTATCTCTTATGATGGAGAATCCAACAGTCAAGCAGGACATGCTTGACTGTAACTGTCTCAACACAAGGGATACAAAACGGAGAATCTTCACCTTTTTAACAGGTATTTGTGCAGAATGACACATATGGCCAATGCGACATCGTCGTATAATGACCTCGTCAAATCTGTACTGACAACCCGAGTAGATGTAACCAATATAGGGTTTTATTTCATGTAATTTATTGATACCCACTTGGGTGTCCCAGTTTTTCGGCATCACGGATGTACGATCTATTGGTAGCTTTGTAATAGGAGTGTGGAATAAGAAGTGGTGTCACAGATTTGTTGAGTGCTGACTTAGCAGCAAAATCAGCCTTTGTGTTCCCAGAAATACCAACAAAAGACGATGTCGCATTGGCTAGTTGCAAGATCATTATATATTTCAATAATTTCTATTAAAAGTCAATGTTTGCAAAAAAAAACATTGTTAACAGCCTGAAGGCAATAAATTTAACTAGAGTCAGAAAAGATTACGTATTGTACATATTCTGGTGTCTATTAATATATTTAAGAGCTGTTAGTATTGCGTTTGCTTCTGTTAAAATAGAGCTATTGTCCGGTTATCGAGAAGATATTGTTCTGGATCCAACGACAGTAGCACAAGCCACTGCGCCACCATCCTTGGATCCATCTGTAAATAAGGATTCATATGTAATATATTTACTTTTTAATTGATTATATTCGTGTTTACATTGTGATTCATTAGTTTCTGATTTTTATAAACTTTGTCCGTGTCAGGTCAACGTGTTGTCTCACTAATTGCCAAGGAGTAGAAGAAAGAAGACGGGAAGGAGCTAAAGTTTCGAGCTCAATGCCGGCAGCAGAAGTGCATGATTTAATTCTAAGCCCAAGATGCGGAACAAGAGAAGACTTTTTGTTGTACAAATGCTCATAAAGAGGATTAAAACACAGTTAACTTCAGGGTTAGACTCGATAGAATATAGTTTTGTAATGTATTGTAAAGATAATTTTATACAGCGTTGTGTAAGAGAAGGCTCATCTGCCTCGACGTAGAGGCTGTCAACAGGAGAAGTTCTAAAAGATCCAAGACAAATTCTTAGACCTTTGTGGTGGACTGAATCTAATACTTTTAGGTTGCTTTTGCCGTAATCAAGTTTGGAGCGGATTAGTGATCTATATAGGTGTAGAAGGGTAATTTGATCCCCTCTGCACTTTGAATTAGAAATTACTTTCAATAAATCGAGTTCCTTCAGGGATTCATTTTAAGGTATTTGATATGCGGAAGAAACGTTGAATGGGAGTCAAAAAATAGATCCAAGAACTTGGCCTCCTGTACAACATTGATGGGAGTGCCATTTAAAACTAGTT